TGGCACTGGAATGCGGACGCGTGGATGCCTTTTGGTCCCGGTTGGTGCCACCAACCGGGGCCAAAGGCCCCCCCTGCCTGGGTTCGGCGCACCGGCCACGTGGAGGACCATATGTCCCGGTTCGTTTTAGAACCGGGACTAAAGGGGGAAGGTATTAGTAACGACCCATTAGTCCCGGTTCATGAACCGGGACTAAAGGCCCTCACGAACCGGGACTAATAGGTGTTTTTCTACTAGTGAACAAAAGAGGGGCACAATAGTTTGTCGATAAATGACACAACAAATGGAGTGAGAGCGTGTACGAGTATGATAAATGGCTCTTTTATGTGAGAAGGACCAAAGAAAAACAATTATATGGCACCACAATGCTGAAACATAGTATGTTGCACATCTAAAACTAATATTTCCTTTCAATCGTCCAATGCAGAGTTGAAGTACTCACCTACAAATAACAACATATGCACATTACAAAATTGTTTGCAGTTACCGTGTTGCTTCTGGCTCTCCTTCCTTTAACTCCTTCTGTGCATAGACAGTTAGCTATTTTTGTTCAAGATATAAATGTATGAACTTCACAAAATATGTGCATCCATTAAAGTTTTTATTTTTTTTAGTTGCAGCATATATCTGCAAAAAGAAGGTGCAACATTACTTTTGTAGCCCCGGTGTCACTTTTTTTGAAGTGATCGTATCATCATGATTCTACACCCCAGGGTTTCCATGTTCTCATTTCAAACCTTAGAATAGGCGTTCTTTTAGAATAAAAGGTTGGATTAATTTATGATGCACAAACACCATTCGTCATCGATTTTTCCCATGCAATTATCTTTTCATTGATATTGACAAGAAATTCCTACATACTTGGTACCCAAAATAGTCAGCGTTGCAGATTACCAAACAATTTGATATTTTGAATTTTCCAAAAAAAGGATATGACAATGAAAGTTTCAAAAAATGTCATTGTGTATTTCTACATATTCTTTATTGCTATTTATTTGAGGATTAATATTCACTTGATAAGCACATGTATTCATTTAAAATGGAACTGTTATAATTTTGATTAAAAAAGGAATATCATGTTTTCTAGTATGATTTAACACTCTTGAAGAGTATGACATGATGCGGGATCGGGAAGACTATTTATGGTTCTTTTACATAGTTGTCACTACCAATGGTGAACATATTACAAGTTTACAACTCTGCAAGTCAAACATAGTCGCCGCTACAAAATCTTGCTACTGTGTCAGTAGCACATGAAAAATGTGTATTTATTATTTTCCTACAAAATATGAAGTGTAAAACAAAATCCGAAATAATCAAAAATATGGAATACCTTTCTGTATGTAAATATGTAATCATTTGATGTTAAAAAAATGCAAAAACACAAATATGTGTGATATAAGTCACGCATGTTGAGAAACCATTTCGCCAAGAACCCTAGTTTTTTTAACGAAAAGGGCAAGAACTCTAGCTAAGCTGAAACCATCAATTCTTCAGTGAACCCCGTTCTTTTCTCTTGCGTTTATACCTGCGTTGAGTGGATGGAGGACTCGTTTGATTTCTCGGAGGTGTATATATAGCTTTTCCATCTCCAATTTCACATGTTTTTTATGCTAGATCGCGCAACGATCAATTTTGTCTTTCGTTTGAGTACTTCACTAGATCCTACTTTAGTTATGATAGTATATGAGTAAGACCAAGTCACCTAAGCAGTGACCCCTACACCAAAAATCAACACCAAAGCGAGTTTGATGAAAAGATACCACCTCTGCTATTTTTTGAGACAAACAACTATAGTGGTGTAGATAATTGTAGATGATCCATGATCTGCTTCTCATTATCATTGTTTTTGACAACCAACCATGCAAGGCGCGGAGTCGAAAAGAAGGAAGAAAAAGAAGTCTAGCAAGCATATTGATAGATGAATTTGATGACAGCATGATGCATGTTGTTCCTTTCAACTTTTCAACACAAGTTAGGCACTCATATATGTACTTTGTTGGTTTGAATATGTCATTTCTGAATTACAAAGTAAATGAATAATATATGAGGTCTACAGTTGCTACGTAACCCAACCACAAACTCAGCTTTCATCTCATGCATCGAGCTGCTGAATCACACGTCCTCTTTTTCTATCCTTCACAAAAACTTCTTGGTCACAATCATGCTCCTCCTCCTACTACTACTAGCAAAAAAAAAACCGATGAAAGTTGCCAAGAGGCGCCTGGAATCGTAATAAATTCGGCGAACGACGTTGCGACAGGCCCCGACCGAGCGCCCGGAAGAGAACAAGCGCGCAGCAAAAATGATAGACATACAAAGACTTACACGCTTTTACACGCTTTTTTCATCTAACAACCAATCATAAATCTCTCCCTTGATTTTCAGAGGGTGGGCCATCCCGCTCACCTATTGACCAATCAAAGTTAACCATCCTGTAAAAGTCTGTAAATCGTTTGTACGTGTAGCATTGCCGATCAGGCGCGAGCACGAGGCGGCCCAGGGCCCAGGGGAATAACAATCAGTGCGCTGACGTGGATCCGATCGGTCATGGGACCCCATCCGACGGCCCAGATCCTTTTCCTCCTCTTTTATCTCCCCCCTCCTGATGCTCAAAAAAAAATCTCCCCCCTCCTCCCTCCCAACCCTCTCGCAGTCGCAGATTCCCACCCTCGTCTCCTCCTCTCCACACACGCACGGACGCACTTCCATGGCCGCCGCCTCCTCGTCGTCCCCCCCTCCCAGCCCCGCTTCATCGTGCCTTTTACGGAGTGTGCGAGCGTGCATGTGCTAGGGTGGATCGTGCAAGAGCGGAGGCGTACGTACGTCTTGGTTTGTTGGTGAAGGGAGGAGCTAGGCTGTGGTGCGGGGTGGAGCTAGCTGGGGGATAGCCTGCAAGAAGCCGATGAGGCGAACGACTAGCTTGACGGAGGTCGCGCCGCCGTCGGTGCTGGCGGTGGTGTTGGAGGACGAGGACGAGGACGAGCTGGTCAAGGCGGTGGTGCAGGCCGAAGAAGGTGGCGCCGGCGGGGGCCAGGACTGGCTGGCGGCCCTAGGCGGCGGCAGCGATGCCCCCGGGACGGACTGGCTAGCGGCGTACCGCGCGCGCGCGGCGCCGGCGCGGGCGGGGCTCCGGCGCAACTCGGCCGACTACTCCAAGGTCGAGACCGCCGCGTTCCTCCGCCACTGCGGCCTCTGCCGCCGCCTTCTCGGCCCCGGTCGCGACACCTTCATGTACAAGTACGTGAGCTGTCCGCTCCTGCATGCACGTGCATCCATGGCGAAGTTGTACCGCTAGCCAATATACCAATCTGTTGCTTTGCTTCTGCTTCCGTTGCACGATTTTTCAGGGGCGAGGCGGCGTTCTGCAGCCTGGAGTGCCGGCAGCAGCACATAACCCACGAGGAGTGGAAGGACAAGCGCACGTCAAGGTCCATGAGCGAGGCGGCGGCGCCGGCGACCAGCCGCGGCCGCTCCGGCAAGACCGACACCGGCGGCACGGTGGCGGCGGCCTGACCTGACAGCGCACGAGAGGCAGGCACGCTATCATCTTCCGAAGCTACCTGCCAAGGCCAGTAGCTCTCAGCGCTACGCATGTATTACTCGTACGTACGTACGCCTCGACTATGAATCGCTGGTAATCGATCTGTGCAGGCCGTCAACCACCGCTGGTCGATCGATCGACCATCGCCTCAGTACAACTGCATAGCTTTTTATCAATTGTATGTACACTCGGAGCTCGAATCCGTTTCTGAGATCGTTCCTTCCTACGGTACTACTACACTACTGATCGATTAGTTAATTGCATCACCTCACGGATCTTATCTTGTTTGGCTTTGTGCATCCTCGACGCTTCATATTGCAGTACTGCGTACTAGACCTAATGCGTTAACAAAATTGCATTTTAATGAACAGAGAAAAACAATCTTATCTTGCCTAGTGTAATCAAGTCTTGGTGATGTGTGCAGTCAAAAAAAATATGTGACCACTGTTGTTACGTGCTCGTGAGGCCGCCGCCAGGCTGAAAGTTAAGAGTCATTGAACCAGTCGCGTGGTAACTAATCAATCCGTGAGCAGCGCTGCGGCAGTGTATTAAAGCTTGTTGGCTCTCATGAGTCATGATACGGATATGGCTGTGGGCTTTACTACTAAGCACTTGCTCACTAATTGCAACGATAAGACAAAATTCAGACGACTCTAGCAACTATTCCAATGTGCAAGTGCAAGTATATATATATACTCTCTCCTGCAAGTTTACAGTTAAACCCTTTAAAATTTGATCAAGTTTATATTATAAAAGAAAAGATTACAACACCAAATCGATGTCACTACATACTCCCTCCGTCCGGGTTTATTAGGCCTCCTTTTATTTTGAGCTAAAGTTTCACCCATGAATTTAACTAATAAAATATAAACTATATGTCTCAAAAATTATGTCATAGAAACCTCTTTCAAATACAAATCCAGCAATATATACTTTTTTAGCATGTACTTTATAAATTTTTAGTCAAAATACATGATCAAAATTGGACCCAAAATACAATGGGGCCTAATAAATCTGGACGATTGCATTTCCGGTGTTTTGTAATATATTTATTAAATATTATACTCCCTCCGTCTGGAATTACATTCATCTCCGCGACAAGTAATTCCGGTCGGAGGGAGTAGATGTTTGATCTTTTTCTGCAAACTTAACAAAAATGACTTAGGATAAATTAATAAACCTTGTAAATCCAGGCAGAGAAGTACTCCCTCCATCTCATAATAAAATCAGAAGACCCCTTTTGACTATCAGGATCACATGATCCCTTTTCAATCAATATCCTGGCACTTCTCGCGTGCATATTGCTCAACATGGTCTCCAGATTTAAAGTTTTGTGAAAACACAACTCATTTGTGGGGAAAATAAAAACAAATGGGACGCCTTTTCAAAATCTGAAGACACACATGCGCGCGCACGCGCACGCGGACGCGCAGCGCGCGCACACACACACCAAATTGTTTAGTGGATTTTTTATACTTTTTTTAACTCATTCAAAAAGAATAAAAAACTGGAATCATGTGACTCCGAAATCCACAGAATCAGCTCTACTTGCTCGTGCGCGTCTTGGAAGCATCGATTCTCTTCCACAGATCCTTAAATAATTTGGGTTCCCTGATTCTCACTGACTAGCTAGATCGAGGAAGCATCCACGAACAGAGCCGCTGCAGCTGCTGGGCTCTCCGCTCATTGACATGTTAGCCTCGTCAGCAATGCATGCATGTCTGATAAGCGCATCACAGTTTTTGGAGACTGATAGATAGGTGGTGGATCGTCCCTCCCATGTCAGTCAGTCCACTCCAGGCACCACCACCACCCCGATATGTCACGAGTGGTCCGTTGCGTTGGACGCACTTGCACCCAACCGCAGGCTCCAGGCCCCAAGCACCATCCAGTTGTCCACGCACGCCATAGGCGACACCTCCTGTCACCCACTCGATCAGCTCACTCACTCCCTCCAATTGCCCCACTTTTCTTGTCTCCATCTCCCTTTATTTTTCATCATCTTTCGATCACGAGAGAGATGTATTTGTCACCGCACTCAACACTACTGCAAGCTACACGAATCCACCAGAGCGTGCACACAATAGAATTAGTCCAGACTATCACACCTGCCGTGTTCAGCTTTTTCAAGTGGATGAGTATTTGAATGATGTGGATCGTCCCGCCAAAGAGTTGGCATACACTATATCTTATGATAAGTCGGCGAAATTCTCTGAATTCATACGAAATGCACATCCATTCTTGTGCAAATACGAGCGCGTAATTTGGAAACTACTGGATGCGTCACCTCGCCATCTCACCAAGTGGGTTCTCTCCAGCTACTCCCTCCGTCACAGTTTAGAAGGCAGTTAAATTTGCGTGCGTTTCCACAATAGACAAGGTTTAGGGCGCATTGCATTTATTTCTAGTAGCTAATTAGTACTCTAATATACTATTTCTATATGCATGCGTAGTGTGAATGCTATTTCTTAACCCATCTTACAACCAATAGATAACCACCTAGGTCCCAGAGAATTTCCAAGCGTGTCTTTTAAACCGTGACGGAGGGAGTATCATTTTCCATGGCCTTTACTGAAAAGCAGGGGAAAAACAAGGAAAAAGGCTCCCTCTTGTAAATTGTGTGGCGCCCATAGGCCAAACTCATGGTAACGGCAATTGGGACAAAAGACATGGCTATCAGAAGGCGCTTTATTTTCGCTTGATCTTTCCGTCTCCAATCGTGATATGTTTGTTCCTATTCCGTGGCTAGAAACAGTGCATTTTATGCATGTTGGGTGACCTGTAATACGTAGCGACTGCTAGAATCCGTGCTAGTTTCTTGAAGAAAAAAAGGGGTGCCATAGGGATTGTTTGTTGGCAAGATTTTTGTAGTCATCAGTCTTGAGACTGCCACTTACTTTTTTTTAAAGCAAATAGTAAGGGAAGCCTAATATAAAAAGGATTCTAAGTTCATGTTTGTTACTATCTGAACCTAGTTTTTTTTTAGAAAAGGAGGATGACCCCCGGCCTTTGCATCTGGGCGATGTATACGGCCACTTTATTAATTATTCTCACAAGACCTTACAAAGTCATACAACAGCAAGACTAAAGCCCCCGTCTAAGCAACAACTGTCGCTACACCTATCCAATCTATGAAGGGGCGCTGATAGTCTGGGCCTAATACCAAACAGACATCGCAGCCAAACCTAAACATCTAAGACCTAAGGTCCCAACCAGGACACCTGCCGGGTATGGGGCACCTACCAGTCTGGCGCACTCCTCAACCAGGACGCCTGTCGGGTATGAGGCCGCCGCAGCCACCTGCCACCAATCCATCTTCAGAGTTGTACTGTTGCATCTACCTTGCATGGTCTAGCTATCGTCGACGCCACCACGACGCCAGACAGCTTCCTCCTCCTGTGCGAGTCCATCTCCGCGCATCGGACGCCGAGACTCGACTGCGCCATGCCGCAGAGACCCACCGTCGATGATACTGTTGATGCCCCACCGCTCCACCTACATGCCATCTCGCGTCGACTGCGAACTACCAGCAACTCCACCACCCTGAGCAGTCCTCGGCCGACGCCTTCAGGAAGGAACATGACACCAAAGTTTCATCGTCGCCCAAACAGAGGAACAGAGGCTTTCGCCTGCGCTCATGGCAGAGGTGGGGGGCGTATGATCCACACAGAAGCCTCCAGGAAGGTAATCGGCGCCGAGGGCGTCGACTTTGGTGCGTCCGCCACGCTGGCCTGGAGTTTCCCTCGGATCCATGCCCACCTGCCAGATCCGTCCAGGCAGTATTGGCGTCGACAGTAGTCGCTACCGTAGCCAGCACGAACCGGAGTAGATCGAGTCAGAGACGACGCCTCCCATGGAACTCCGGGCGGCCATCGAGGAGCCGCCGTAGCGCCACCGCGCCCACGCGGCCGTAGAAGGCCCCCCATCTGCACCCGCGGGTGCCGCCCACCAGGCAGGCCGCACCACGCGCCACCGATCGAGGCCGCCGCCCCGAGATCCCCGCGCCGCCCGAGGCACCGGCATTCAGATCTGAAGCAGATCGACCACAGCCACCATAGGCGCGCCCCGAACGGCCCCCCACGTGACCACCGGGGGAAGCAGCTCCTGCCGTCGCCCCCTGAGCCCTCGTCGGCATGCCCCGTCGCCAACGCGCCGCCAACTGTCGCCGAACGCCACCCGCGCCAGGTCCGGCCGCTGCGGGAGGAGAGATCCCGCCGCCGCGGATGCCAACCGGGCTTTGCCCGGCGGCGCGCCCCGGCGGCGGCAGGCAGGAGAGGTGGGAGAGAGGGCCGAGGGCTTGGCGGCGCAAGGGTTACCCCCTGGTCGCCATGTGGGAGCGACCCAGGGGAGGGGAGGGGAGGGGCACGATCTGAACCTAGGTGAGCAAGTTTTTTTTAAATCAGTTAGACCCACTTCCTAAGACCACCCTTTCCAAATAATAACACTAATAATAATCACAATTTCAACTTTAAAACCAAAAGTGAGCTTTATTCACTTTCAACATTCATCCTTGCAAGTTGCAACACTGGTCCTTCTTTTTTTACCCATACCACCCTCCATTGATCTTTCTACACATATCTTCTTCCCTTTGTGATATCAATCCAACCTCATCTCTCTCATCCACTATCTTTTCTCAATTTATGTTTACATAGCCTTATCTACTATATTTTTCAGGGCATATAGGCTCGTCTCACTTTGTTTGCCAAGATCAAGCACATGTTAAATTTTGAAACTGAAACCCCCAAAACCTAGATCGAACTCCAAAATATAGTAAGTCACTTGTCATGAAATTCGTGGTGTCGTCGCTTGTATTTCCAAGGTGTCAATCGTCAAGGTTGGAAGTTATGATAATGAAATTGCTATGGTAGGCAAGTTTAGTGATGGGCTGAATGGATCTTGTTTGAAGCTCCGAACCGTACGACAATAGTTGTACGATATTTTTTCCATTAATTTAGGAGGCAGAATATTTAAAATAGA